TGGTGTTCGGGTTGGACTTGGTGCAACTTGAATCGGTGATGGCGTGGTCATATCACATCCCAAGTTAAAGTTAATGACTTCAAGAGCAACCGTCTATGACAAGAGAATCTTACATAATTAGTTTATATACATGAGATGATGTGTCACTTCTTTCATATTGAATTTTAATAAACATGAGGTATGGTTTCCTATAAAGAACATCAAATTAGTAACTTGTTTTTCAGAATAATTAATGTTACATAAACATTGAGTGTTGTCACTGCCAAGTTTGCTGCACTTGACATTCGTGTATGTAGGGTGCCAGTAATTTTGCATAATCAATATCACCTGTTTTTGTCCCCACTTTGTTCTATAGATCGCATGTACCTATGCTTGACCTTTTGATTTTGTTGTTTGTAACAGTTGTTATAATAATCCTTGAGCACCGGTTTTGACTGCTTGATTTTATTTCAGTTATCTTTCCCAGAATCCATGTGATGTATCCATATAAGCGTCTCGGAATCAGCAGGGAAGCATCTGAAGATGAATTTCGAGCTGCTGAGAACTTTCTGATAAGCAAGTACGCAGGGCAAGTCAAGCATTGATGCAATTGATTCTGCCCATGGAAGAATAACGATGCAGTATTTCAGGACAACGAGCCACCTCTTAATATGGTAAACACATTGTATTATTCATAAAATCTTCTAAACTGAAACTTTCTAAATGGACTTGTCTTTAGTAATAGATCATTAGATACATATGAGGGGAAGTCCATTTCAGTAACAGATCATTACATACATGGGTTCCAACAACCATGATTTCTAAGTGGCAGTTTCTTTTGTATGGTTTAGTCCTTACTGCTTTGGCCATGTTAGGATTGATTTTTCTTTGTTTCTCTGTGTTGAACTAATTAACTATACATCAGTCCATTTTTCTTACTTTCATGATCAGGTCACCAAATAACATTCGAACAAGTGGCATTAGCAAATCAGAGGTTGTCAGTAAGACTAAATGTGAGAAACTAATAATTGTTTGGGCATAGAGACACAGTTGGCCACAAATATTACAGTATGAGAAGACCGCGGAGGAGAAGTTGTCGATGTTATTTTTTTTCTTATAGATTTGCAATTCGAAGCTGCTTGAGCTGCCGCCGAGGAGAAGCTGCCGATGTTATTTTCTTATAGAAGCTGCTGAAAGTGATGCTGTCCACCCAGCTGAGTCTGAGTGTATTCACCAGCTGCTTGAGCAAGTTCGACATCACAAAGTGAATATCGATGGCAATGTTTGCACTCTCATGGTGACTACATGAGTTCTTGAGGTAACTTATATGACTTGTTTTTACTTCATTGAATTTTACTGTCTCAGATTACTCTTTGATTTGGAGAACTTTAGGCTAACTTAGTCATGCTGGCTGCTATGTTAAATTAATATCTATAGATCTTTATTGAAATGTATTTACTTGAGGTGGTGTTCTCTGGCTAGAGTTGCATCTAGCCATCTAGGTCAATACTAGATGATGCTCTTGAATCATCTCTTTGACTCCACTAGCTGCAGGTTTGATGCTCATTAATATGTTCCTCACCTTGAGCAGGTCAGAAATAGATTGGTGTTGCTGGTAGTACTGCATATGTGGCACCTGAGGTTCTACTAGGAAATTACTCGCAAAAGGTATAGATATAGGGGCTGCTGGGGTTGCTTCTGCATGTTCTACTAATGGGCAGTCTTCCATTCCAAGGAAACTCTAATCACAAGATTTTGTCTGAAACTGACCTACTACATTCAAGTCGCTTAGTGAATTCTGGTTCCTTGAATGCCAACGACCCCAGTAATGGTGCACTATAAATTGTTCTGTATCCACACTATTAATTCGTTCTGAAAACAAAAGTTATTGTGTATAAATCATTAATACGTAAATATTACTCCCTCTGTTCTAAATTATAAGTCATTGACTTTTTTTGGTTCATCCATTTTGCTATGTATCAGATATATTATTATATCTAGATGCATAGCAAAATGAATGTAACAAAAAAATCAAAATGACTTATAATTTGGAACGGATGGAGTATGTTAGTCGTGATATTGGCATTTGAACAAGTACATAATTTCATTCAAGTTTCTAGATTCGAGAAAGTATTCTATTTGATATGCAGTTAGTTGCATACAGGGGGCAAAGGTAAGTAGTAAGTCGTGGGTGCAAATGCACCACCCAAAAAACAAAAAACAGTGAGGCTAGTTAAGATTTTACCATATATGCACCCCCCATGAAACATATCTATGCACCCATAAGGTAAGTGTACCCCCCTCTAATTTGCTCTAGCTTCGCCACTGGTTGCATATACTCATTTTTTTATGGTATGCAGTGTCCCATTTTAGGGTTGAGCATTACCAGGACCGGAGGAACTCAATGCTGTATTTTGTTGATGTACATGCCTTATATAGTTTGATTAATATTTCATTTCCACTTATACCAGTGATGCAAATTAATAGATCATGTGTCGCTTTAACTTTATTATTGGCATCAATGTCGTTTTGAAAACCCTTCTTATTGGAGCAATAAATGAAATTAACATAGTTTTTTTTACCCGTAGCAACGCATGGGCATTGGCTAGTCAGTACTACTTGATCTAGCATGTTGATTACGTAGTAGAAAATATAGAAAGTATAGTTAGAAGTTTTAGTTTAGGGTTTAGGGTTTGAAATGCGTTTAAACATGTCTAATCTTTCTAGGATTTTTTTTTTTTGATTTTTCTACAAGTTTTTACCATCTTTCTTGGGCGAAGTCAAAACTTTTAATTGCTTTAAAAAATCTTTTCATGATCTTAAAATAGTTTATTTGATTCATCATGTCCTATAGTATATCTTACAGGATTTTGTTTGGTTTTCTGGAAGTTTTCAAATATTTTCCAAGAATTAAAAATGATTTTATTCGAATTGTTTTTTCACTGAAATGAATATTTGGAAATTCCAAAAATTAGAAAATAAACCCTAATTTTTCCTGACCCAAAACCCTACGCATACATGCTCAATGTGATCATCACAAATCTAAATACCCTATCCTGAGCTATCACCCGTAGCGCTCTAGATCTGAAGCCAAAGTTTCAGCTTTTACGAGCTTTCTAGCGAAACTTTGGCATTCTTTTCCGGTGTAATTGATGGGTTCTTGTCTACACAGGGATGTCATTTTGTTTCATGAATCTATCACCGTATAACATAGATTTAAATAGCGGGTTATAGCCGCGCTATAGTGCCGCTATAGCTTCTAGAGAGAGTCTACGCTAAGCTATTTTATTTTTTCCGCTATGTCATATATAACCGCTATATTGCGCTTTAACACCACTGAATTGCTTAGCTATAGCTTTGAAATAGCACCAATATTTCAATTTTAGCTATAAGAGTGAAAATTTAGGTACTATCTACTTAATTTTTAGTGCTAAGTTGGTCTTTTAAAAAATTGAACGCTTGAGTTCCATAAATCATGATGTAATGCCATATTAAATAACGTTCCATAGACTCCTAAAGCCTTAGAAACTTGTGTCCACCAAATTTCATGATTCTTATGTTTTTATGAATCAATTACTTGTATTTTTCATGGTTCTGTTAAAACCCGCTATTTATTATAGCTCAGCTATAGCTGTGCTATAGCTTTATAGCTTCTAAAAAAGATGCCGCTATTTGGGTGTCCCTACCTGAGATTATTGGAAATCTGCATGAGGACTGCACTATCACGGATGGCACATTGTTGCATATTACCTTTCTCCACTGAAAGACTGGAGTACTGTCTTGCACATATTGGTTGATTACAAGGTGTTACCATACATGTCTGACTGCATTGGTGAAGGTGGTTCTACATAAATGTATGTTGAGATGTTAGTTCAGTTGGTGTGCAGGACGTAGCATATAAATATACTCCCTCCGTTTCAAATTATAAGTCGCTTTGACTTTTTTGGTACATCCATTTACTATATGTATCTAGATAAATAATATGTCTAGATGCATAGCAAAATGGATGAACCAAAAAAGTTAAAGTGACTTATAATTCGGAATGGAGGAGTACTGACTATGAGGATGAGAGGGAAGATGCTTCAAAGGACGAGGGAACAGAAGATGAGGAATTACAAATTTACAACGTGTGAATGAAAAAAATTAGTGAAAGCGGAACAAATAGAGAAGCAGGTGACTTTGGTCAGGCAATTCAACAATAGCCTAAGCGAGAAGGAAGAGGAAGTTGGAAATTGGAGGGCAGTGAGGAGATGGAAGCTCATAGTAAACAAATGTGGAGAACAAGTCAAGCAGTTTTTTTTTTTTTTTTTGCGAACAGAGAATAAGTCAAGCATTGATAGTGAGTATATGCCTAGGGACTCCTGCACATCAGGGGATGATGATGAAAGCTGCCCAGATATTAGAAAATCTAAGAATTTCAAGAAAATGCTGAGGAAGGGTGAGGCTAGCAACTTGGATGGTTCGGTATATTGGGGTATTGGGGCATATTGCACCTAGACATCAAGTTTGGCTTATTGAAGATGATGGCAACTGTACCCCGTATGCAGACAACAATGTTTACCGTTCAGTTGATGAGGTGGTTAAATTAGCAATGCTAAAGATGTGGGTACTATTTGGCCTTTATCAGGGAAAGGATATAGTGAGAACAGCACTACCCCTTCCCCCAATCATTTTCATCTTGCTCACACTCTTTCGTCTGCTCTTGTTCTTTTTTTTTTTTGCGACTTGGTGATTTCATTCATAGATCAATTAGGGTTACAATCTGAAGTCAACAGGTGATCTACACAGGTTAGGGCTAACTGCCACTCACCCAGCCTATTATCACCTGAGATTGCTTAGCTAGTACATGAGCTACTCGGTTACAAGAACGACTTGTAAACATCACAGAAAATCAATAAAAAAGAGTTAATTTCCCGAGTTTCCCTAATGATTGACGCAATCCGTGAACGTTGATTGGTGCCCTCCTTCCATAGTTTCACAAATTCTTGATTGTCGGTCTTCGGAATAAGTCGCTGCACCCCCTAATCCCGAGCTAGAACAGCACCATCCCGGCAAGCCAAAGCTTCCAGGGTCAATGCATCAAGGCCCTGGGGGTACCACCTTGCCTGTCCACCAGCAAAGAGACCTGAGTCGTTTCGGAGAGCTACCCCTGACGGACCTTGCCCTTGGTCCGGATAAAAAGCACCATCAGTGTTGCATTTGAACCAACCGGCCGGCGGCGCGTGCCATTGCTGCACATTGTTCCTCTCCTTCACCGAATTCATCGGCTTGTTCAAGTTCCATAAGTCAATGGCTGTGTCAAGTGACCAACGGACCGCAGCACTGACTAGTTTGTGATTGTCACCATGTCGTCGCTGGTTCCGTAGCATCCAAAGTGCATACATGCCGATAATGAAAATGCCACGCTCCTTGTCGTTGCACAAGCCATCCATCAGCAGGTCGCTTGCCCAGGATATCGGATGGAGACTGGGCAGCTTCATCCCTGTGATTAACTTCACCTCTCACCAAAACATCTTTGCCGCAGTGCACTCAGTAAGACCGTCTTGCTCTCAGAGGATGGCCAAACAATAATTTCTGCCCACTTTGCATGAGAAACCTTGAGACCTCCATCCACTTTGGTAGTTGAATGCCCATTCTTCCGGAAGATCTGGAAGAAAATCAGTGACCGGTGCAGAGAGGAAGGTAGACCCTGAAAATTGGGCATGCACGGATGATCTACACAGCTGTCTTTGGAACACAACAAAGGAGGGAGGGAAATCAGACCATCTGATTGCAGTAATTACACTTTGGAAAATCTGGAAACAGCGAAATGACCGTTGATCGCAAAGAGAGGCCAGTGGCTGATATTGTCTACAAAATACGGGATGAAATTGCTTTATGAAAGTCAGTGGGTGCAAAAGTCTTAGACCACCTAGTTGCAACAAACTTTAGGGAGTAATTACTTTGTTTCATTTTCTCTATTGTCATCACAACCTGCTAATATCAGTGTTGTAGGCGCAACTTGCGCGTGTAATTGCTACCCTTCTTACTACTAATATACAAGCTAGCAATCAATCCGGATCTTTCAAAAGAAAATACTGTTAGGCTTAAATATTGTTGTTCCCTTGAGGTTAGAACCGATGGCCCCTCCTAGATCTCATTTCAAGCTCAACAACTAATCTTAAGTGCCATGGTGTAGGCTTAAATGATGGTTTCGACTTAATATGTGGATTAAAACATTTATAAAAGCTAACAAGATCAAATTTTAAATTAAAATTTAGATTCGTGATGTCACAAGACATATGTTACAGCCAGAGCCACAATAATTAACATAAGGTTTCAACTAAGGGCTTGTTCGGTTAGAGGATGGATTGAGCTCAGGAATTATTCCCGCTGATCAAAGTTATACAAATTAGACAATCAATCCAACGGAGAATTATTCCAGATGACTGTTCCTGGTCAAATGTACAGGCCCTAAACATATATTAAAGAAACATGGAGATGCCACACAGAGTGAGAAAAACTATGGAGATACCAATAGAAAAACACTTAGTAATTGATAAGTTTATCATAATTGAATATAGATTACAGAGTACCTAGGTAGCGTTATAAAATAAACAAAGAGATATAAAAAATATGAGTGACTTTGATTAGTGCAAAACTTATCATATTTATGTCTTCTATTCTAAGTCCTTATTTAGATGCAGTCGGATTCACATTAATCCACATGTGTTGAGGTGAATTGGAGTGGAACTTGAACTAAATTTCACCTTAATTTACCCTAACACATGTGGGTTGAGGTGAATGCCGACCAAGGACTAAGATAGTTTATGATCGAAAATCGGCAAAGCCCAGCATCCCCTCTTGCATCCATCATGTCTTTATATGTGTACCAGACAAGAGCACTCGACAATCACAATCTGTTTTGCTTTGCACTCGCTTTACGGCCCCGTTCGGCTTACCTAGAAATTGGTTTGTTCGGCTTATTTTTTCAACCGGAACAGTGTTTTTCTCTCACAACAATTCAGTCACAATAGTATTTTTCAGCCAGTTTCAGTCAAGATTCTGCCAGCCGAACAGGGCCTACGGGACGCATAGCTGATGGCTCATCATCACGAGCGCAAGCCGCAAGGGAGTGCAGCCTAAATCCACTGATGATGGATAACACCTACTACAACAGTATGATCGAGAAGAACACAAGCTCGATCTGCTCAGCACAAATCAGCTGCTAATCTGTGTGTACTACTGAAACTGAAGAACGGAAAGGACAATGAGGAGGCTTTTGCGCCGTACAAGAAGCACAGGCATAGCTGGCGCTAAGGCGCCTTTGGTGTTATGGTCAGCATTGGCCATCTGCTCTGCGCTTCTCGCCGTCCTGCTCGCCTCCAGATCATCGTTCTACCTCCAGCAGCCTGCTTCTCCTCCCTACACCTCCCCCGGGGCCGAAGCAGAAGCGAAAGCGGAAGAGGGGCGGCACCACCACCGGCGTCGGGCGTGCGACGACCATGCCAGGTGGGTCGCTGTCACACCCTTGGCCGCCGACGAGGGATCGCCGCCGACGTGAGCACGAACACAGCGGATATACGGAACGAGGTCGCCGGCAGGGCAAGCCCTCTGCCTTGGCGAGTTTCAGTTTTACTGAATACGAGTTCGATAGTTCTTACAGAAGGGATCGGGGTGTTTTATTCCCCTTACAAGTCTGACCACTCGGGTCCACAAAACTGCGACACACATGTAAAACAGCTATTATAAATACGTGAACGTAGATATGAAGACGCCTTCTTCTTCCAATGCCTCTTCTCCCTGTTCATTGGCCAGCACCTCTTCAGATAGCGTCTCCAGGCGCGACATCTCCCCCCGCTTGAGAATCAGCTTGTCCCCAAGCTGGTGCATCAGGAAAGCGTTGTTTGAGCACGTAGTAGTCCTCCCATGTGGTGACCGATGGAGGCAGCTTGGTCCAGGTCACCTTGATCTGAGGGATTGCTGTATTACCCTTTTGCACTAGGCGACGCTCCAGGATTGATAGTGGTTCTGCAGCAGCCGCTTCCAGATCAGTTGTAACTGGTAGAGATGCAAACACTGGTGTGTAGTTGGGCACAAAAGGCTTGAGCTGTGATATGTGAAAGACAGGATGGATCATTGAATTGGCAGGAAGCTCCAAACGGTAGGCAACAGTACCGACTCTGTCTAGAACTTTGTATGGTCCATAGTATTTGTAGGCCAACTTAGGATATGGCCTATTAGCCACTGATGACTGAGTATAGGATTGTAATTTCAATAGAACCTGATCACCCACATTGAAATGGAAATCAGTCCTCTTCTTGTCAGCTATCATCTTCATTCTGTTTTGTGCCCTTTCCAAGCTCTGCTTTAAAGCCTCTAATTGTAACTACCGGTGCTCTATATTGTCCGTCACTGAGGTTGCTATATCTGGTGGAACAGATGTAACAGCTCCCAGAGAAGGCTCATATCCATATAAAGCCTTAAAAGGAGAACATCCCAAAGCTGAGTGAAGTGAAGAATTGTACCATAATTCTACCAAAGAGAGCCATGACTTCCATGTACTTGGTGAGTCTTGAACAGCACACCTTAGATACATCTCAACACACTGATTAACTCGCTCAGTCTGTCCATCTGACTGGGGATGGTAGGCTGTACTAAAATGGAGGTCCACTTTGTACAGTTTAAACAGAGTTGTCCAGAAATGGCTGAGGAACACTGTATCTCTGTCAGATACAATGGTTTTTGGCAAACCATGCAATTTGACTACATTGTCCATAAATGATTGAGCAATAGAACTTGCCATATATGGATGTCTAATGGGTATGAAGTGAGCATATTTAGTGAATCTGTCCACCACTACCAAGATAACACTGAAACCCTCAGATTTAGGCAAACCTTAAATGAAGTCCATAGAAAGGTCTTGCCAGATGCCATCATGAATTGGGAGAGGTTGCAAGAGACCTAGAGGATGGTGGTGGACATGCTTAGACTGTTGGCAGATAGCACACTGTTTCACAAAATCCTCCATTTGGTGCTTCATCCCTTTCCAGGCAAAATGTTTTTTTAGTTTGTAGTATGTAGCAGCAACACCTGAATGCCCCCCAATGGCACTAGAATGGCAGACAGCAATGAGCTTAGTTTGTAGAGCAGAGTTGTTACCAATCTAGACTTGACCTTGATGTTTAATGAGTCCCTTTTCCAAACTATATCCATTTTCATCTAGACTGCTAATGGCTAATTTCTGAAGCAAGTCTTGAGCCTTTGAGTCAGTTGTATATGAGTTGAGCACCTCTTGTAACCATGCTGGTTGGACTGAGGATACCGCTTGTATTGCTAAGAGGTGAGCCATTCTTGACAGAGCATCAGCAGCAGCATTATCCTTACCCTGCCTGTATATGATCTTGAAATGGAGACCCATGAGTCTAGTCATAGCCTTCCTCTGCATCTCAGAATGTAGGTTTTGCTCCTTGAGGTATGTCAGGGACTTATGGTCGGTCAAGATGATAAATTCATTTCTCTCCAAATAGTGCCTCCATTTTTCAACAGCCATAATGAGAGCTAAAAATTCCTTCTCATATATGGAGAGACCCTTATGTTTTTTCCCCTAGGCTTTGCTCAAATATGCTACTGGTTTGCCCTTTTGCATCAGAACAGCCCCAATGCCATCTTGACAGGCATCTGTCTCTAGTGAAAGTATCCTGCAAATTAGGTAATTGGAGTACTGGAGTTGTAGTCATCACTTGTTTCACTATTTCAAAAGCCTTTTGTGTTGTTTCAGTCCATGTGAACTGTTTTAACCTCAGAATACTGGTTAGGGGTTTAGTGATCAAACCATAGTGTTTCACAAACCGCCTATAGTATCTAGTTAACCCCAGGAATCCTCTTAGCTCAGTAAAGTCTGTAGGGGCTGGCCACTTAAGCATATCTGCAATTTTGCTCTGATCTGTAGAGACTCCCTTATCAGAGATAATATGGCCTAAGTACTCCAAACTTGATTGAGCAAAAGAACACTTCCTGTCTTTCACATAGAACTAGTTCTTTCTCAGCTGCTCAAAGACTAAGTCCATGTGATGAATATGATCCTCCATAGTGGGGCTGTAGATGAGGATGCCATCTAAAAATACTAGGACAAATCTTCTGAGGAAGGGTTGGAGGATATGGTTCATGATGCATTGGAATGTAGCAGGTGCATTGGTAAGACCGAATGGCATCACTTTGTACTGATAATGCCCTTGATGAGTTTTAAATGCAGTCTTGTGCTCATCCTGTGGCTGCATTCTCACCTGATGATAGCCAGCCCTCAAATCCAACTTGGTGAAATATTTGGAGCCTGATAATTCATCCAGGATTTCCTCAATCACAGGCATTGGAAAACGATTCTTGATGGTCAGATCATTGAGTTTCCTGTAATCCACACATAGCCTCCAGGAACCATCCTTCTTTTTGACCAATAAAACAGGGGAAGCAAAAGGACTGTTGCTATGAGTAATCAGCCCCGCTTGTAACAGTTCCTGTACCTGTCTCTCTATTTCAGACTTATGAAATGGAGAATAATGGTAAGGTTTAGAGTTGACAGGTATGGCAGTAGGCAACTAAAGGTATTGTGTGATCATGTATCCTATGGGGTGGTAGAACTTTAGGGTCAATAAAAACATCTTTGTATTTGGCAAGTAGCAGTTTGAGTTGATCAGACTCAGTGGAAGAAATAATGTTTGGAGGACTGAGTGTGTCTTTGTGTTGATCCACTAGAACATACGCCCACACATCATTGCCTTTTGCTGAATTGAAGACCTTTGTTGCTGAGATAGCAGTTAGGGATAAGGGTGACTGTTGCAAACCCTGCAAATGCACTGTTCTATCACCTTCAGAGAATTCCAGTGTCTTAGTTTGCCAATCATAATTCATTGGGCTATGAGCAGTGAGACAATCAAACCCTAAAATGGCGTCATAGGGGTGCATATCCAATACTATCATGTCAGTGTACAAGGTGGAACCTTGGCAAAACCAGGGTAGCTTACAAACCTTGCTGTCAGTCATAATCACCTGACCATTTGCTAACTTCACTTGTCTAGCAGGAATAGGTACCACAGGCAACTGAGCCAATTGAACAAAATGGGAGCTTATAAAGCTGTGGGTGCTGCCACTATCAACAAGAATCAACATGGTCTTGTCTTTCACTCTTGCTTTCAGCTTGATACAGTCAACACTATTAGTCCCTGAGAGAGCATTGAGAGACAATTTACCAAAGTCTTCCTGTAGTACATCTTCTGCAGCCAAATCATTAAGGACCTCATCTGACAGTTCCCTGTCCAGGTCATTGAGGACTAAGGCATTGACTTGTGGCCTGTTTCTTTTTGTGCATACTTCTATATGTCCTGGAACATACTTTTCTCCACAGCTATAGCAAAGACCATTTGCTTTCCTATAATCTCTGAGTTGCCTATCACGCTAGAGAGAAGGAGCTTGTGGCTGTGGTTTGATATCTTGTCTCTGTGGCTGGTAAGTTCTTTATTGATAATGATGTTTGGTTTGCTTGGCCTTAGCTCTCTCAAGTACCCCTTGCTAAATCTTGGCTATGATTGATGCCTTGAGCACTGTTGTAGGCATTTGGGCTTCTACTATACCCCTGAGCTCGTCCTTAAGACCCCTCATGTATTGGGTAGTATAGAATATAACATCATATTGAGAATTGTGCATGTTGACTTGATATTGCAGGACTGGAACTGTGTGGTGTATTCTTCCACTTGGCCTTGCTGCTTGAGCTCCAAAAGATCATTCAGAGCTGATCTGAAATCATCTGACCCAAACTCCTCTTCCACCACTGAGCAGAAATGGCTCTAGTTCTTGAAGGTATGATTCTGCTTATAAGCTTGATACCATTTAGCTGCATTCCCTTCCAAATGGATACGGGCAGCAGTCACCCACATTCCTTCAGGCAACTTATAGAGGTCAAAATAGCTCTCATAGTTGTCTTTCCAAATCTTTGGGTCAGTTCCGTCAAATTTGGGGAATTGCATCTTAGGCATTGAGTGGTTGGGTAATTTAGGATCTTTGTCATCCTTGTGCTTTGGTTGCTTTGGTGATGGTTTCTGATGTTTGGAAGGACCAACCTCTGGTGGTGGTTTCTTATGTTTGGAAGGACCAACCTCTAGTGGTGGTTTCTTGGAAGCAAAGATATTCTCCAAAGCCTGATGGTCACTGTCCTCTGAGGTGACAGATGTGAACTCCCCATCTTTGTACATCTCTCCTTAATCAAATTGTTGCAATGTTAGTTGGGCTACAGCTGCCCCATTGGCTCTCACCTGCTGAGCAATAAGATGTTGTTCACTGGTGTACTCATCCATGGCAGCAGCCCGAATATCCATTTGTTGTTTCATCTGAGTCTGGGTGGCACCAATCTCATTGACTCGTGTGACCAACAGATCAAATTGGTCCATGACCCTCTCCATGAAATTCTGCTCCTCGTCAGACTTCCTGGACATGGCATCCAACAGCAGAGATGTCTGCTTAGATGGCTTGACTGGAGCCACAGTGAACACAATTCAAGAAGACCGTGCGCGAGCAACTGGTTTGGATGATTCCTCCCCAACTGTTGCCAGGCACTACACCACCGCCTGAGAGTGAGGCTGAGCCTTGGAATTTTACACGAGGACATGCCTCGAAACCCGAGCCCAAGGACACTCTCCCGCCAACACCGCCGCACCAATCTGACCTTAAGCAACGCCAGAATTTTACGTGAGGACACCGCCCCACAACCCTTGTTGTATACTCAAACTTGCCAAAGTGATCAGATGGAACAGAATAGATGCTGCTCCCACGGTTCACGCCGCCGAACCCAAGGTGTCGATGTAGTCCCCCACTTGAATGATTAGCCGAAGAAGGTGACAGATCTTGACTAGGATTGTGTATAGATTTGGTGGAAGGTGCTGTTTACGGCTAGTGGTGACCTAATCAACCAAAAGAGGGACCTCTGGGTACTTTGGTCGAACACCTCTGAGGCGTGACCCAAGCAGAGCCTGCCCACTGGATTTTACAGATTGTGATCGACACACAAGCTGTAGAATAGAAACCCGGTGGTATGGGGGAAAGAGAGGTATAGTGGATCTGCGCTAGATGGATGGATTGATGGATGGTCGGATGGATCTGTCACCTGAAACCGATCGGAGATAGCCAGCGAAGAGCCGATAATTGACGCTGATGATGAGCGGTGAAGCTCCGCACCCACGCCAAGGATAGTCGAATCCGATACCACTTGTCACACCCTTGGCCGCTGACGAGGGATCGCCGCTGACGTGAGCACGAACACAGCGGATATACGGAACGAGGTCGCCGGCAGGGCAAGCCTCTGCCTTGGCGAGTTTCAGTTTTACTGAATACGAGTTCGATAGTTCTTATAGAAGGGATCGGGGTGTTTTATTCCCCTTACAAGTCTGACCACTCGGATCCACAAAACAGCGACACACATATAAAACAACTATTATAAATACGTAAACGTAGATATGAAGACGCCTTCTTCTTCCAACGCCTCTTCTCACTGTTCATTGTCCAGCACCTCTTCAGATAGCGTCTCCAGGCGCGACAATCGCCAAGATGGCGTCCCTGCACAACGCCACCCTGGTCCTCACCGTCGACCACAAGGGCTGCGCCAACTTCACCAGCCTGCAGAAGGCCGTGGACGCCGTGCCCGACTACGCCGCGGCGCGCACGCTGATCGCCGTCGACGCGGGCGTGTACGCGGAGAAGGTGGTGGTGTGGAGCAACAAGACGGGCGTCACGCTGCAGGGCCGCGGCAACCTCAACACCAGCATCGTCTGGAACGACACCGCCAACTCCAGCGGCGGCACCTTCTACAGCGCCACCGTCGCCGTCCTCGCCGCCAACTTCGTGGCCTACAACGTGAGCGTCCAGAACACGGCTCCCCCCGCCGACCCGGGGGGCGCGGGCGGCCAGGCGGTGGCGCTGCGCGTCGCGGGCGACCAGGCGGCCTTCTACTGGTGCGGCTTCTACAGCTCGCAGGACGCGCTGCTGGACGAGCAGGGCCGCCACTTGTTCCGCGGCTGCTACGTCGAGGGCTCCATCGACTTCATCTTCGGCAACGCGCGCTCCCTCTACCTCGGCTGCACCATCAGCTCCGTCGCCAACGCCGCCGCGGACGGCACCGTCACGGGGCAGGAGCGTCACGGCGCACGGCCGCGCGTCGCCCGCCGACAGGACGGGCTTCGCGTTCGTGGGCTGCACCGTCGTGGGCACGGGGCAGGTGTGGCTGGGCAGGGCGCGGGGCCCCTACGCCACCGTCGTCTTCGCCAGAACGTACCTCTCCGCCGTCGTCGCGCCCGGGGCGTGGAACGACTGGAACGACCCCGCCAGGCAGCAGTCGGTGTTCTTCGGTGAGTACGACTGCACGGCCCCGGCGCCAGCGGCGGCACCGCGCAGAGGGTGGCGTACGCGAGGCAGCTGGACCAGCGCCAGGCCGCGCCATTCATGGACGTCTCCTACATCGACGGCAACCAGTGGGCAGTGCCCCTCTGCTTCCGCCCATGCAGGGCGCCGCCGGCGAGAACATCATCATATCTGCCAAATTCAGTCATGCCCAGGCGGGCAGCATGTAAATCTAGTATAGCCAAATTCAGTCAATCAGTCGACAACTGCAATTATGGAATCATGTTGATCCTCAACTCAATCTTTATGGATGGAGTCAGTCAACTATGAGTATGAGCAAGGAGGAAAGGCCACTGCTCAGTCGCGTCTCCACCGGCGCCGACCTCACCACCGGCAAACCGCTCGCCGGCCGCCGCATCCGCGTTACTGCCGAACACAAACTCGCCCCCGCCAGTGGCCGCCTCATCATCATTTGACTCGTCCTTGATGGGGATGCGCCCACCATCACTGTGCGTTCCCACCCAGTGCTGCTGCTGCATGTTCCATGGTGGCGGCGACGAGGAGGTCGATCCCGGGGACACGAGGACGGGGCTCCCCGGCTGCAACTGGTAGGCGTGGAGGAAGCCCTCGGTGACCATGCCGCCTCCCGAGCAGTGCTGCTGCTGGTCTGCCGCAGCGGAAGACCATAGGAAGCGGGCGAAGGGGACCTCCGGCGACGACGGCGTGGTGGCTAGCAGGTGGAGGCCGGACTCCGGCGGGGGCGTGACCGGCGCGGTGGACGGCTCAGTGAGGCCCGCGGACGCGGAGAAGGCCGGCGGCGACACCAGCTGCTGCGGCTCCCTGGCGTAGGGGCCGATGGCGAATATGGAGGCCGTGGGTGAGCTGTAGCTGCTGCTGGCGTTGTTGGCGTTGAGGAGCACCACGGGCGACGGCGACTCCGAGGTGAGCACGGACGAGGCGGGCGACGACGGCGGCGCCACGAAGGCCAGCGCAGGCTGCGGCGCGTGGCGCGCATAGTGGTGGATGCTAGAGCTGCCCGCCGCCTGCTCTGCGCAGGGTGCGCCTGGCGGCTCCGGCGACCGCGACGCGTCGGCGATGCGCTGCGGGTGGCCGTGCGGCCGGAACCACTTGAGCTTCGCCTTCAGACGCGACCACCATCTCGTCTTCTTCTGCACATGCCATTCCAAGACCCCAAAGCATGAAGGCAAATAAGGCAAGCAAACAACTCCATCAGAATTAGAATACGCCATGGATGAGCTTAGCTATGCTACTGTTGAATCAGAAAACAATACTTCCTAGTATATCCTTGCGACCTGTGCACGTGTTGTTGATATGATTTGTGAAACTCAATTGATGCATCAGAAATTCTGAAAGAAAGCAGGTAGCGTGACCGACACAGGTAAGGCGAAAGCAGGTACTAGTATATAACGTACCGCAGCGGCGCAACTGGCGTGGTCGTCGTCGTCGAGGTGCTGCTGGTGGCGCAGGAGGCCTGTGCTGGTGGCTCTAGCGGCGGCGGCCAAGACGATGGCTGCGGCGTGCACCATGTCATCATCCTGCTGCCGCTGCATCTTTTTCTTATTTCCCTTTGCTTTCCGGTTCGATCAATCGATGGATCAGGGCCTGTTGCTTTATTGGATATATGGTATGTGTCCCGAACGAATTGGTGGATCAGAAGCAGCTTTTTGCTGGATCAATCGATGGATCAGCCGGCCGCTTGTGTTGCTTAATTGGAGTAGAATTAAGGAAGGAAAAGAGATGGGTGGAAGGAAAAGGCGCGGCCGGCCGGCCGGGCGCGTCACGCCATGCGTGGGGTGGGACTGAGAATGCAGGCAGAGGCAGCTCATCTTTCATCCGATCCGAGCCAAACAACCCAATAATCCAAGGTTTGACTCCACGGGTGCGGGTCAGTCACGGACGCACGCGCTAATCAATCGTCCAATTACCAACGAGAACGTAACGACTAATCCATCCATTGGTTCGGCTTCGTCGTCAATGCAAAGTCCACGGACGCCTCGTGCGCGTGTACCTTAGGCGTGCCACACGCCCACACCCACACCCACACGTGAGGCAGCATGTCATGTACACGCACGGCACACCTCCGCGAACTAGTAGGGTCTTTGTCGGACGATGTCCAAAATCCACCGCACAGCGCCTGCTCCAGCACGGCACGCCGACGTGTCCATGGATCGTCTATCCATGTCGCACTTAGCATGGTGTATCTACTGACCTCATTCCCCGTGCATCGTCCGGCCGGCCTGCCGGCCAGGGACAACGGACAACCACCAGACCGAGAGAGCCAGCCAGCACCCAGCAGCACAGAAAAAAAAATACTACTGCTGCAGGCCACCCAAATACGCGTATAAGTCAACAAAAGACAAAAATCACGTAGCTTCTTGTTTCAAGATTTGTGATATCTTCTTGTTGTCTTTCGTTGGGCTTTGTCAATCTCATATGTGAACTGATTTGGTTGTCGTTATTTGTTCAAAGTTTTGGCCCAATAAGATTTGTTGTTGTATTTTGTTGAGATGGCAGAAACAAATTTACGATCCGTTTGCTGTTAGTAAGGATGAATAAGTCAATGCATATATAGGTCAGGTAACATCAAATTATATTGTAAATTTGCAACAAGTAATCAAGAACTAGAAGCATCAGGGGCTGTTTAATTGCCCGCCAGTGCACGCCACGCCGTGCTTACGGCGATGCCACAAGTGTGGTGCAAAAAAATAGCCGCCACATGTTGTGGCGAGATTCCATCCGATTTGCACCATGAATCTCTATGGCTGCCTACGCATATTCATCAACCAAACAGTCACTTCGATAATCAACCAAACAATCTATGGCTCGTGGCGTGGCCTGCTGTGGCCGGGAACCAAGCACCTGAAGCATTTATACCATTGATTGAACGCGTAATGACGCACATATCCCACTCCATTTCCGCATGCGAGTCCGCGACGAGCAGGAGGAGCCGAGGAGATGCTCGTGGACCCGGAGCAGCAAAGCAGCCTGCTGCCTGCAACTCTGCTCTCTACAACTAGAGAATTTTTGTTGTTGCTTTATGGCGCGTACTTTTTTATAAAAAAAATTGTTTAGAAGTGAATGAAAAATGAAGACAAGATCATCCATATGAGAAGGCAGCAACATTATACGATCTACCCACCTTGCAAATTGCTGTATCTTTTCTCTAGCGTATTTTGTTTTCTTCACAAAAAAAACCCAGGTTTTTTTAGGGGAACACAACAAAACTTAGGTCACCGCACGCCTTGCCTCGCTACCATCAGGCCCAGCCCAAGCGGGGTGAACCTTTTGGGCCTGCATTCTTTTTTCTTCAGTGGTTGTAGAAAAAGTCCATTTACCTTCTAAACAAACTAGCATTGTAGTCTGATTTTCCTTCTCAAACTCTAAAATAAAATAAAAATCTTATCTCCTGATCTCTCAAAACTGTTCAAATCACGTCCCCGTCCTGGATTGTAGTGGTTTTGAAGGCAGTTCTATCTTTTCTTTAGTTAATATAAATTTGGTAAATGCTTGATACGGTTTTTAAACCACAGAAATATCTCCAAGCTTCTAAAAGTTTTGAGAAAAAAAATCTCTAGATATATTGATATACCACAAACCCAAAAATAATATATAGACCTTGTGAAAATATCTCTGGAAGCTTCAAAAAGTTATAATTACCACTAGGAAAACGGAAAAATATCCAAAAATTTTGGATAAACTAAAACATTGTAATTGATGTCCAAACAATTTTAAAAATTTCCATGCCAAAATATGAGATGCAACTAGTATGAATGCAACATACATTAATGTTGAATGCATTTATGCTGGTTGCGTCTTATATTTCTATTGTGGAAAGTTATCAAAACACATTTAGACATCAGCTATAGTATTTCAATGATTTTTCTAGATTTTTCTCATTTCCCTAGTGTTAAATCAAAATTTCAAAGCTTCTAGAGACATTTTCACGAGCTCTAAATTTTCATTTGAATTTGTGGTATCCCAATCTATGTCTATGGTTTTAATTGATTTTTTAGAATCTTTAGAGACATTTTTCGTGGTTTAAAAACCTTATAATGTATTTATCAAAAATTGTATGACCACTTCCAATAAAATGGTTTTTGAGACATTTTTAGAATATTTAGAGACATTTGATGGGTTTTGAGAGTTAAGGATAAGATGTTTAGTTTTAAAGTTCGAGGAGAAAAATCTAACCTACTTTAGGGAGGTAAAAATGGACCTTTTTAGTGATCCTAAGTTAGGGTGACCTATCAATGTCAAACTCCCGTTGTATCATTGAGAAAAAAAATTGTATATGCCTATGTGCCCCACCATGAGCGACACGTGGTAATGTCTACTCGCACGATTTTTGATAAAGATCATACAGAAGTGTGACCAGCATCGCCGCTATCAAATCTCCTAAGTCCTAAATCTTATCATCCCTGCAAGGCAGGGTGAGGCGAAGATCATCCTGTCCGTTCTCTGATCATCGACTATGTTGGTGTCTAGGAAACTCAACCGACCCGTGTTGGACTCATGGATTGTTTGTAGCGAGGAAGATCTCAATAGTGAAACTTTCAACCAAGACCCTGTTTAGATACGCTCAAAATCAGATTCCCAATCACTATCTGTGAGAATCGATGAAAATCCCACCAAACGCCAGCCACGATTCTTATTAGTGCCTCTTATCCATCTACCGCCATTCGCCAAATTGAACTGGGAAGCCATGTGTCGGTGTTGAGTTATCACCGACGAGTAAATTTCTAGTATTGTGCGTCTGACTCGGATGGTGTGCTGAGAGGACACGAGCTTTATAATGGTTCGGGCAGAAATTCCCTACGTTCAGTTCGTCGCTACTGCTCGTGTTACTAGCACTGAAAATTTGTAGTAGGGGTTACAAACGGACGAGAGAGAGAAAGGATTCTAAGTCTCTGGTGAAAGGAGTGAGTGGGTGCTGAAAGCTCGATCGCTGCTCAGCTGTGCGTTCGTGTCGTGCTCTTGTGCTGATCTATATCGGATCTCGATGGTTCGATCGGATTGAATTGGATCCCCTTCATGGGACGCCCTGCTTTCTTTTTTTATAGGCCAAGGGAAAGCACGGGTTACAGCGGAGGAAACAAGAAGAACGAGAGAGAAGAAGGCCTTTAGGATCACCGGGTCCTTCTTCTCCTTCATGCGGGTCCTGTCGATCCTATAGATGTCAACAGGGACAGCTCCATGTCACGGCCCTGTCCGTCACTGGTGCCACGCGCAGGCGTTTTCTATCGGTCATGACGTTCCATCCCGTCCCGGTGGACGTCGTGGTGAACTGACGCGCCTGTCATCGTTCGTACGAGGGTTAGGCAGAACAGCACTAGCACGTCCGATGCTGTTTTTTATGTGAATCATCAGGTATGGCCCGTTATGGCCACGAGTTAAATCGAGGCGTGCCAGTCTATTCTCTAGTGTCAAAGTTTTGACCCAGACCCATACGCTTGGACCTGGAGTGGTCGGCGGCGGTATGGGTCCCCGTCGGGTGAGGCGGAGCCTGCGACCTTGGGGTCGGACGAGGCAGAGCACAAACCCAAGGGTCAGGCGAGGCGGAGCCCGCCCCTAAAGGTCAGGCGAGGCAGAGCCCGTGGCCTCGGGGTCGGACGAGGCGGAGCCCGCCCCCAGAGGTCGGGCGAGACAAAGCCTGCGCACCTGGGGGTAGGTTGGAGCTGTAGTCGCGCTCTTAACTGCTCGGATGGATTAATGTTGATGACCATTAGCTCCTCCTCTTCTGGTACCCTAGTATTGGTCCCCGACATCATGGCTGAAAGTAATGTTCTCTGATTTATTATGAGAGAGAAACAATGTTCGTTCGCTGAAAAAATACGGCTCATAAGATAAGTGAACAGGACCATATACTACAACTCTCGTATCACAGATGGCGTACCGTACTGCACGGTCAGTAAAAGTTCGCTTATGCTGATGTTTATGTTGATTTGTTGTGAGAGAAAAATACTATTCGTTAGTTGAAAAATAGTTCAAGTGAACATAGAGGTCTGAACCGTGATATCAGGACCAACACTTTGCTCGGCCATAGACATTATTATTGATGGCAGAAGGCTACGGATACAGCTCCCTTTTTTCTCCTACCGATATAGCTCCCTTTTTTCTCAAAAAGAAGAAGATGACGAAGAAGAAGGAATGGAAGGAGGAGGAGGATACGGCTCCCTTTGCTTGCGACCTACTGCCGGTCGGCAGAGTTATCCTACTGCACCACGAGTAAGCCCGGGGAAGAGGCAGATCGACGCTTGCCGCTGAGTAGGCCGAGGATGAGGAATCGGTTGTTTTGCTGAAAAAACAAATTAAAATATTATTCTAATTAATTTATTATAAGAGAAAAATATGCTTTCCGCTAAAAAAACAAGTTAAAAAGTATAAATTATAAAAAAAAACGAATAGAGCCAAGAGGTTGGCTACCGATTTAATTGTTTTTTTTTGAGCCATCTCCGAAGTGCGGAACGACAGAACAAGTTGCAGAGAACGTCGCACGTCATGCACGCGTGCAATTTTATTTCCACCGTAAAACGAAATGGGCATGGTACCG